GTGTCCAAAGCCAAGCACAAATCTAGTTCAGGACTAACAGGCGTCTCAACCATTCCTAAGGCAGAACGTATCAACCAAGCTTGCCCAAGGAGCTGTTTCAACGGGAAGGAGCAAGCCAACGAGGAACCCAGTGAAGCCTTTATGAACAGGCAGGCTGGGGCAATGCAAGAAAGAAACCACTCTTCAGTTTCTATCTCGGGCCCATTTGCAATTCATCAGTTATATGGCAGCTTAGGACAGATGTGTCAACATTTGCCACTGGTTTAACAAACTACAATTAGCAAAACACACTGGAAAAATGAAAAGCAGTGGAAAAACGCTCCACAAGTCTGTAAAGGGATATAGCCAACACTCCTAGAAGGTCACCCAAATATTCAAAAATTTCTTATGCATCTGTGAAACTAATAATTTCTATTATTTTACATTACATTTCCCGGTAGTATTTCTCCTTCTACTGCTGAAAACAATTAAAGAACTAGCCTGATGTAACACATTCAGAGGAAAGAAAAATCCATTTCAAGAACTCCTCAAAGCACTACCAGAAGAGAAAATTCCACCCACGGTTCAGTTAAGAGTCAGAAAACTGGAAATAAAACATATAGATGAAGTATCAGGGCACTGACTTACGTAGTCACTTAAAGTTTCTGTCTATAAATATATTTCAAGGTTGCTATTGCCAACACAATTGTAAATGCTCAAAAAGAAACACATTAGACTAAAGCACCAATTTTTCCACACAAAGGAGAGTTTTTTTCTTTACAACGCTGTGTATCAGTGTAAGTTCACCCTTGAAATTCATCATAAATGACCTAATTGAAGCATATATTATAAGAACTACATAAAAATCCTTTTTTTTTGGTTTGGCATGAGTTTTGTTTTTTTAAGAATACACATCCAATCCAATTAAAACTAAATCATTCGCATTGCTATATTCTTCTTAAAGCTTACCGATAATCTTCTTCACTCTGAATTGTTGCAGTAGCTCAGACAACTGTAGTCTGAAATTCCTTCTTCTTAAAGCTTACCGATAATCTTCTTCACTCTGAATTGCAGTAGCAATTCAGACAACTGTAGTCTGAAATTCCTTCTTATGTACAAACACTGCAAGGTTGCTTTTTCCCCCGAAACGATGGTATTCTATACGTGGAGCCCAATGTAATCCACACTTCCTGGTTTGAGTCATATGTCTAATCTCAAACGATACTAGCGTAACACCGACTCTTACCGATAATCTTCTTCACTCTGAATTGCAGTAGCAATTCAGACAACTGTAGTCTGAAATTCCTTCTTATGTACAAACACTGCAAGGTTGCTTTTTCCCCCGAAACGATGGTATTCTATACGTGGAGCCCAATGTAATCCACACTTCCTGGTTTGAGTCATATGTCTAATCTCAAACGATACTAGCGTAACACCGACTCAGCCATCTGAATGTGTGGGTTCACATCGTAAAACTCCTTCATAAAATGTCCTCTCTGTTATGTTTATGCAGGATGCTATAGTGAAGTTGTAAAGCTAAATTATCTGATGTAACTAACTCTGCTCAGAAAAGGAGAATTTGTCTATTCAGTGATCATCTTGCTTGGGATATTTTTACAATGCATTCCTCCACTCTGTGCTCAATTCACCCCTAAGCTGCTTACGCAGATACTAAACAGAACATGTGATTCATTTGTGTATCCTTATTCTTTTAAAACATCTGATGAAGACAAGCAATAGGTCAGTTTGCCCCTGTGGAATCGCACCAACTGATCCTTATAAACCTTGTAATTCCTCCGATTAATCCTGTTCCTAGAGGCAGGAGTAATACTGGCGAATTATCTGGTTCCAGACATATTTCATTAATATCAGGTGACATAGTTTCTCTTAGTTGTGGGCTTCAGTTATGTAAGACGGATGGACAGTAAAACCTCTGCCACCCAAGGATTTTTTCTAGACATATCTTCACCATCAGAAAAACTTCCCTTGGAGTTTGTTACTATGACAATGTATTGCTCTGGAGATCCGACGATGGCGGAGTGGATTTACATTTTTCTACCCATTACCGAAGCCTTTGTACACATGAAAAAGCAATCACGTACATACGGGATTACTGCTTTTCCAAACACACAGGGTATGTTCAACTCCTTGTGAATATATCAGAAATATATTTGAAATATATCAGAATATATCAGAAATACATTCAAAAAAATTACTTCGCCATGTAACTGCCAATGCATATTTAAATTAATTCAACGGTCACCGATAGCCTAGCCCAGCCTTGTGTTGATGTTTTGCCAGTCATTAGTAGATGAATAAATAAACATAGAAGACCATGGGAAGATTAAGTTTTATTTGACAGTGGAACTGCTGGGAAAAAAAAAAAACAAACCCAACAGCGAGACCACAATTCCTGCATACAAAACCCGGCCTCCTTTGGGCCTCTGTTTGCAAGGCGTTTGCTCCTGCAGCCACACAAGCTCTTTTTTTTATGACACAGTCATTACAAGGAAGACTCGAAAGTGCTTGGCAGCACAAGCAGCACAGTGGCAGCTCTGACATCCCACAGTTTCCAAGGAGAAGAAGTTTCCCTTTCAGTTTTGGGACTCGCTTGCAGGTGTCCCGGTAGCACCCTCCCTCTCCCTCACTCAGGACACAGCTTTGTCATTTGCCCAGCTACATCTGGGCATCGGCAAAAGCAGGCAGTCTTTCAAAACGCTTTCTTAAATCCCATGCTGTTCAGCACGTGCCAGTACACCTCTCCTCTCCCACACAAGAGAACAGGCTACGTGGTTCTGGCCACCCACCCCGTTAGAAGAGGGCAGCACGACTTTTGCCCTAGGTCTGCGGCTCCGTAGGCATCCTTTGCTGCACGCAGCAAGGACAGGACAGCAGCGGGCACATGGCTGTGCAGGATGGAGGGCAGCCGCCCCGGGGCAGGCTCCCTGACGAGCAGCACCCAGCTGAGGCATCTCTACTGGCTCGTCCCTGCAAGGACAGCTCGTTCCAGTGCTGCTACATCGCTTCCTTCAACCTAACCTGCAAAAGCTATCTGTGAGCTCCTGCAGGCAACATCTGCCAGCAAATTGCACAGCGGTTCTGGCAAACCCGGCCCATTAAGTCAACACTCACTTCAAGCATAAAAAAATCAAGAGATCCTCCTGCTTTCAACTGTGTGTGTTTGCTGGATTTTTTTGCTCACGGGGATTAGAAGGGATCAAAATCCCTCTGTTTCTATGTCAGATGTGCATTACACTTTTACTTCATATGAGACTCTCTGAATAAATCCGTAGGGGTGTAATTAAAATACTCTTAAAAAGGCAACAGAGGTGATAAAGTGAGGCTCTGGAAACAAGCCTTGTTCAAACACACAAGTTACGATTTTAATGCCATTATTCAAATTATTTTTCTGTCCTTCTGCAAAGCACAGTAGCGGTGGGATCGCTGGGAGCCAGGGAAAAGTAAAAGGGAAAAAATCCCTTCTAAAGGTGGTACTACGGAAAATATTTTTCTCGAGCTCCACACGAAACACAAGACAGAGCAACCTGCGCTGCAGCTGTACCGCTGGTGCTGCGCTGCTCCGGGAAATCCCCAACTCCTGTCCCCTCCCGCCGCTGGCTGGCCCCACCTCAGCCGCTCGTTTCAAAATAGGGAAAAAAACCACCCAGCGCCTGCAATTTTCCTGACCTCCGCGAAACACAAAACCCGGTACAGGATCCCGATTTTCAAAAAAGTTTCGGAGCGGCTGCCGTTGCCGCGCAGGAT